TAGTTATTACTTTTTCTATTAAGAGTCTAATATATTCTTGATATTACCCCTTGTCAGGTGCATTGTTTGCAAATATTTTCTCCCATTTTTTCAGGTTGCCTTTTCACTCTTTGTTTTCTTTGCTGAGCAAAAGCTTTCTGTTTGGTGTAATCCCATGTGTCTATTTTTGCTTTTGCTGTCTGTAAGTCTTATTTAAAAAATTCTTGCCTACCCCACTATTGTCATTTCCCCTATATTTTCTTCTAGTAGTTTTATAGTTTCATGTTTTATATTTAAGCCTTCAATCCATTTTGAGTTAATTGTAATATACGGTGTGAGGTAGGGGTCTAGTTTTATTCTTCTGCATGTGTATATCCAATTTTCTCAGCACCGTATATTAAAGAGACTGCCTTTTCCCCAATGTGTGTTATTGGCATCTTTGTTGAAAATCAGCTGTAGGAGCATGAGTTTACTTTTGGGTTCTCTATTCTGTCTTACTGTTCTATGTGTATGTTTTTATGTGTATGTTTTTATGTGTTATGTGTATGTGTATGTTTTTATGCCAGTATCATGCTGTTTTGGTTACTGTAGCTTGTAGCATATAGTGTGATTCCTCTAGCTTCATTTTTTGTACAGGATTCCTTTGGTTACTTGGGGTCTTTTCTGGTTCTATATGAATTTTAGGATTTTATTTCTCTGAATTTTGGTAGAATTACATTGAATCTGTAGATTGCCTTGGGTAGTATGGCCTTTTTATCAATATTAATTCCTCTAATCTATGAATATGGGATATCTTTTCATTTACTTGTGTCTTCTTCAATTTCTTTCATTAATGTTTTATAGTTTTCAGTGTGCAAATCTTTTATGCCTTGCTTAAGGTTATTCCTACATATTTAATTTTTTGTAGTTATTATAAATAGAATTATTTTCTTCTGTTACCATATAGAAATGCTACTGATTTTTGTAGCTTGATGTTGTATCCTGAATTTTTACTGAATTTATTAGTTCTACCAGTTTTTTGGTAGAATTTTTAGGGTTTTCTATCTATAAGATCACATCATCTACAAACAGGGACAATTTGACTCCCTCATTTCTAATTAATTTGCCTTTAATATGTTTCTCTTGCCTAATTGCTCTGTCTAGAATTTCCAGTACTGTGTTGAATAGGAATGGTGAAAGTATGCATCCATATCTTGTTTCTGATTTTAGAGAAAAAGCTCTTAGCTTTTTTCTTGTTCAGCATAATGTTATTTGTGAATTTGTCATGTGTGTTTTTTATTGTGTTGAGGTACATACCTTCTATGCTAATTTGTTGAGAGTTTTATTACAAAATAATGTTAAATTTTGTCAAATGCTTTTTCTGCATTTATTTAAGTGATCATATGGCTTTTGTCTTTTTGTTAATATGATGTATGACATGTATTAATTTGCATATGTTGTACTATCTTCTCATTCCTGGGATGAATCCCATTTGACCATAGTAAATGATGTTTCTAACGTGCTGTTGAATTAGGTTTGTTAGCTTCTTGTTGAGAATTATTGCATCTATATTCATCAATTATATTCTTATTTTTCCCCTCTGTTTACTTGTCAGGTTTTGAAGTTACTGGCCTAGCGAATGCTGGCCTAGCAAAATGAATCTGGAAGTATTTCCTCCTCTTCCATAATTGTTTGAGAAGAATTGGTATTAGTTCTTTAAATGTTTGGTAGAATTCAGCAGTGAAGTTATGAGGTCCTTCACTTTTTTTTTTCTTTTTTCGATGGAAGATTTTATTACTGATTAAATTTCTTTACTGCTACTGGTCTGTTCAGATGTTCTCTTTCTTCATAATTTAACCTTGGTTGGTTTGTATGTATCCAAAATTTATCCATTTCTTCTATGTTCTCAAAGTTGTTCATAGTAGTCTCTTATGATCCTCTGTATTATGTCTCCTGTTTCATCTCTGTTTTGATTAGTTTGGATTTTTCTTTTTTCTTATTTAGTCTAGCTAAAGATTTATTGATTTTGTTTACTACTTCAAAAACTATATCTTCATTTTATTGATTTTTTTAGTCACTATTTTATTTTTTTCTCTGAACTTTGTTCTTTCCTTCCTTTTAGCAATTTTGCATTCAGTTTATTCTTGTTTTTCTAGTTCCTTTAGGTGCATGGTTAGTTTATTATTATTATTATTATTATTATACTTTAAGCTCTGGGATACATGTGCAGAACGTGCAGGTTTGTTATATAAGTATACACGTGTTATGGTGGTTTGCGGCACCCATCAACCCATCATCTACGTTAGGTATTTCTCCTAATGTTATCCTTCCCCTAGCCCCCCACACCCTGACAGACCCTGGTGTGTGATGTTCCCCTCCCTGTGTTCATAGGTTCTTATTGTTTAACTCCCATTTATGAGTGAAGTCATAGTCTTTGGAAATAATCTTCTGAGATATATGCTAATCATCTAATGGTGATTCTCTTACGTGTGACTTGATGGTTTTCTATTGCAGCTTTTAGAATTCTTTGTCTTTGACTTTTGACAGTTTGATTATGATGTGCCTTGGAGAGGATTTACTTGAGTTGAATCTTATTGGGAACTTTTAAGCTTCTTGAATCGGGATGTTCATGTCTCTCCCAAGACTTAGGAATTTTTTAGCTATTATTTTGTTAAATAAGTTTTTTGAGCCTTTCTCCATTTCTAACTCCTGTAACACAAATATTTGTTTGCTTAATGGTATTTCATAAATCCTAGTATCTTCATTCTTATTCTTCTTTCTTTTTTTTGTTTTTCTCTGGCTGGATTATTTCCAAAGACCCATCTTCAAGTTCAGAAATTCTTTCTTCTGCTTTATCTAGTCTGTTGTTGAAGATCTCAATTATTATTTTTTATTTTATTCATTGAATTCCTCAGCTCTAATATTTGTTTGACTTTTCTTTATGATATCTACCTCTTTGTTAAATTTCTCATTCAGATCATTAATTGTTTTTCTGATTTTATTGTCTTGTTTGTCTGTATTCTCCTGTGCCTCACTCAGTTATCTTAAGATCATTATTTTGAATTACTTTTCAGGAATTTCATAAATATTATTTCTTTTGATGTCTGTCACTGGAGACTTAATTGTATTTCTTTGCAAATTTCATGTTTCCTTGTTTTTTCATGTTTCTTGTGTCCCGACACTGATATATGTGCATCTAGTGGAACAGTCATTTTTTTCTCATTTTATGGAGTAGCTTTTGTAGGAAGAGACTTTTTTTCTTTAGATGGGAATTGGTGGGAATGGTGTATTGGTTGGGTGTTGATTGGGAGTAGGGTGTTGACTGGAAATGGTATGTTGGCTTTTGTTTTGGGTGGACTTAGTAGCATGGTCTCCATGCAGATTGTTCAGTTGTAATCTTTGTCTGCAATGTCTGTGATTGTCTCAGTGGCCTGGGCTGCTGTAGTTTGTAACAGTAGTGGCATGATCCAAAACCTCTTTTAACCAAGAGAATTAAATGTATTTACCGATGAATGTTTTATGTATAGTATTGTTATCCATTAATCAATGAATATAACAACAGACTTTGATTACGTTTTTCTGTTTTTTTTTTTTTAAGTATTTCAAACAGGATAGATGTTTTCCTTTGCCTTAAAATATTTCCAAAGAAGAGTTTTGCAAAAAAATGAACCAATTTAATAATAAATAACTCCCATAATCTAAAATTTAATCCTGGATATCTTGATCTTTGTCCTAGAACAATCTTTTAATTCTAGTTTTCGTATTAGTTGAAAGTCTGGTACATATTGTAAGATGAAATTAATTCTTTCATCTTACAGCCTAGTGGCATTAAGATGAGGCCTAACGTTAAGCATATCAGTCACATACCTAACTTGAGAAAAATTCCACTGGAAAGCTTTTTAAACATCAGCAATAACATCTGAAGTAATTACAAAGTTCAAGCACCAACTTAAATGAAAGGCTACCTCCTTTATTCACTAGTTGAATATTATAATGTTAAAAATCATTAAAGTACCTGTAAGGTGAATTAATAATGTAGCATTTTATTACCTATATATTCATTGAAGAATTATATTTTCAGCCCAGAGATTTTTACGGAAAGATCATTTCTAAAAACATTGTATGCAAAATTCTGAAAGCTACTGCTTCAAAAAAATTCGCTACTGAAAGGGCAATGAATTCTGAAGGGCCTATAAGTCTTGTTTGAAGCATATATTCTGCTTCTAAAATTACAGTCATAACAAATTCCTCAGACAATGCCACCTAACGAGCCTTCAAATGGTCACTAAAGTCATATTGTGATTTCATCATCAATCTAGTAGATTAAAAATAGACTATCTCTTATTTTAGAAGACTGAACATGAATAAATGAAATAAGTTGAAATATGACTTATATTGGCAGCAAGGTAAGATTTTCACATGAAACAACTTGATAGGTGTTTAAGGGATATGCAATTTTATAATACCATGACAAAACAAACTTCTTTTATCCTTTTAATATAATAGACTCTAGCCAATGGTGGTGTTGCATTTTGTGCCTTGACTAGTGAGAATAAGACAGATGTAAAAAGGAAGACAACTGCAGGCAGAAATTAAACTATAAAACAGGGAAGAAGAAGAGTGAGAGGTATTGCTTTAAAGCTATGCTTGTTGTTGGAACTGTGCTATATAAATATATACCTGTCACCTTTACTGTGTCTTGCATTCCTATCTTAACCAGAAGCTGGGAAAACACCCTTTTATTTACGGCTTGCTGACTGGTGCCACCTTGCTTTTGGTTCTTGACTGGTGTTGAAATTATAATTCAGAAGCTATACTTTTGTATTATAAATAATATTTGTCATTTTCTGATTGTGAAAGTAGCATATGCTGAAAATTCAATAAATTAAAAATGGACAATGGCAAAAGAAAATTAAATGCCACCACTAACCCACCACCAAGGGTTTCATCTTGTTGTAATTCATCTACATATAAATTTACATGAAATAGTACTTTTAAGAATGTGTTGTTTTGAGTTTACTAAAAATATGTTGTCTCTTTAGAACAGTGACGGAGGCAGTGAAGGAACTTCAGTATAGGAGATGGCATCTCATTTCTTCACTGTTCTCACAAAGGTGACCAGCTGTGTGACAAATCCTTGGAATCTGGAGCTGACCCCTGAGGGGTGAGTTTTGTTTTTATATCGGGAAGGTTTGTGCATTTGTTAAAATGCTTTTAATTATAAGTAATAATACTTGATTAACTGAAATGTAGACAAAGGCAGCTTACTTTTCTTCACATAAAGAGAAGGCCAGCTATTCACCAGCTATTCATCTTCAGTTGGATGGCTCAGGTTTCTGACTCCTCTTTCAGTCTTCTCCTGATGGTCTTAAAATGCCAGTTGCTGCAAACATCATAAACTTTGATAATCATATCTGAAGGCTGAAAATCATTGGGATGTACAGGAAGGGATGTTTCTGGGATGGGATGGCAAGTTCCTCACCCTGTGGGTCTCTTTTTATTAGAAAATAATATTTTTCTTTTTAGTATTTTTGTTTAATTTCAATAGGTTTTTGGGAAACAGGTCGTGTTTGGTTACGTGCATAAGTTCTTTAGTGGTGATTTCTGAGATTTTGGTGGACCCATCAGCTGAGCAGTGTACACTATACCCAAAGTGTAGTCTTTTATCCCTCACCCCGCTTTCACCCTTTCACCTTAGTCCCCAAAGTCCATTGTATCATTCTTGTCTTTGCATCCTCGTATCTTAGTTCCCACTTATGAGTGAGAACATACAATGTTTGGTGTTCCATTCCTGAATTACTTCACATGGAGTAATGGTCTCCACTTCCAGGCTGCTGTGAATGCCATTATTTAATTCCTTTTTATGGCTGAATAGTATTCCATAATACATATTTACCACAATTTCTTTATCCACTTGTTGACTGATTGATGGGCATTTGTGCTGGTTCGATATCTTTGGACTTGTGAATTGTGTTGTTATAAACTTGCATGTGCAAGTATCTTTTTCATAGAATGACCTCTTTTCCTCTGGGTAGATACCAAGTGGTGGGATTGCTGGATCAATTGGTAGGTCTACTTTTGGTTCTTTAAGGAATCTTCACACTGTTTTCCATAGAGGTTGTACTACTTTACATTCCTACTGGCAGTATAGAAGTTTTCTCTGTTCACCACATCCACTCCAACATCTATTATTTTTTGATTTTTTGATTATAGCCATTCTTGCAGGAGTAAGGTGGATCATGTGGTTTTGATTAGCATTTCCCTGATTACTAGTGACATTGAGCATTTTTTAGGAAATAATATTTTTCTTGGAAGATGCTCAAATGATACCCGCTTAAATTGATCAAAATGGGATCACATGCCTGATCCTAAACCAATAACCGGTTAGGTAAAAAAGAATTACCATAATTGGCTTATCTTACTTTTCTTCCATGCTTTGAGGGTATGAGAGGAGCACACATCCCACCCCGCAATTGGATTTCATTAAACTAAAGAAAAAAGAGCAAAAGTGAGCCTTATAGAAAACTGATAGTACCTACCACATCTTACCATTTCAGCTTAGCAACTGGGCATCACAATCATGTCAGGATTTCTGTCCCTATCATGTTACCTAATCATAAAGCTCATATTTCAGTTTCCTGGTTGATTTTTCTTGACAAATTAGAAAGATCTTCTGGAACTTATATAAAACAATTATCTGTTTCTTATAAAATAATTATCTGTTTCTTTATGGCTTTACATTTTATAACTGTTCTACTTATTACTTAAAAAAAATAAGAATGAATGATTGAAAGACTGAAAGGAACCTCTTATTTCAGAAAAGATTTAAGGTATTTAAAAAAAATCTATGTGCATTTGTATTAAGTCAGTCATTCTTGCATTGGTATAAAGAAATGCCTGAGACTGTATAATTCATCAAGAAAAGAGGTTTAATTGGCCACGATGCTGCAGCCTTTACCAGGAGCATGGCGTTGGCATATGCTCAGCTTCCAGGGAGGCCTCAGATGGCTTACAATCATCGTGGAAGGCAAAGGGGGAGCAGGCACATCATATGACAAAAGCAAGAGCAGGTGAGAGACACAGCCAGGAAGGAGGGGAGGAGATGCCACTCACTTTTAAATGACCAAATCTTGTGAGAACTCAGAGTGAGAGCTCACTTATCACCAAGGAGATGACCCAAGCTATTCAAGAGGGATTCGCCCCCATGATCCAGATACCTCCCGTGAGACCCCCACTTTCAACACTGGGGATTACATGAGATTTGGATGGAGACAAATATCCAAACGATATCAATATTTTATACAATAAAGTTAAAAATTAAAGTGACACGCAAAGAAATGTAATAGTTTAAAAGTAAAATACTACTAGATGCAAAAATAATGTCAGAACACAAAATGTGTGTTATAGACTCCTATATTATTTGCTTGGAATGTGCCGTAAATTTTGCTCTAAATTTATTAGAAATGGATGCCTAGAGGGTTGTCCTATTAGTTACAAGATACACAGTACACATGTTTAAATAATTAATAGTTTGATACTGAGATTGGTATGTTATCTCCCATGGGTTCTCACCGAGCCCACACTGTAGACAATGAACTTCATTCTTGAAAACCTGTGTAGAATGATCCTTACTATAAGTCCCTTTCTTAAGACATCTCCTAAAACGGGGGTTACCATATCCTCCAAATAGGAACCCTTTTGAAAGAGAAACAGTGACACCAACACAACCATAAATTGGGACTGCTGTCAGCACATTGTGACCTACAGCTGCCCTTCTAGGACCAGTGGTGACATCACTTTAAAAAAAATTTCCAGTCAGTTTTTCTCTCTTACACCCCACAGTAGCTATTTCAATCCTTTCGTATGCTCTTTTAACTCCCAGGTCTTCATCCACCTTGTCATTTTTGGCAAATAGCCTCATCTCTAACTTCAAGTGTGAAACTAAATTTACTTGGCTGAAGCTCCTTTCGCCTGCTTCCCCATCCTCTGAGGTGTCCTATTTAAGTTTCCTTGTATCCCTCTCTCCCATCACATGTGAATGAGCCTTCAACTACTGCCATCTTGTTAAAGAAACTTGGCTGTGAAGGGAAGAACAGAGTTTTCTCTGTTTGTCATCTTCATTTCTTCACTTCCGTTTCTCCACTCTGTCTACTTTCTTGTGGCTTTTGCCTCCAACCTTGCACAGAAAAGACAGGCAGAACCCACCTATCTCTGCTCAGGGGCCACTTTTCAGCCCTTGATACTCATGGCCCCTCTCTGTCTTGTTGCATTCTTGGCCACATGCTCCTTAAAATCCATCCTTTCTCTTCTTTTGCGATACGACACCCTCTGCCTTCCCTCTCTCATCTCTGATGTTTTCTTTCGATTTTCTCCCTTGGATTCTCTTCTGCCCCTCACTTACTTATGTGTGGTGTTCAGCACACATAAGGGATAGTATAGCCTGTGGTTAAAGCTCAGCCTCTGAGTCTAGATCACATGAGTTTGATTGCTGACCATGCCACTTACTATATCTGCACCTTGGACAGACTACTTCACTTATTTGGCCCTCAGTTCCTTCAACTATATATTTAAAAAGGTAATAAAGATGTATTTATCTCATATGCTTGTTATGAAGGTTAAGCAAATTAATATACAGAAAGCATACAGAGCTCTATATGGCCATTAACCTAAGAACAAAACAAACAAAACTCAGGTTTCCCCACTTAATTAGGTTTCCTTCATTGCTAGTCTTTCTAGGTGAACTAATTTACTCTAATGGTTTTTTCTATCAACCACACACTGATGCACGAGGCCACCTCTCTCCAGCAGCATCCCTCTCCTGAACAATAGATTCAAGCTGATTAATGGACATCTTCATTCACTTCAGATTCAGTCATCCAAAGTGAACTCATCACCTTCCTCACCAGAGCCCATACTCTTCTATTTTCTTTCTTGCCAAAAGGTGTCCAAATGTACAAACTGGGATCCTGGGAGTGAGTTTTCATTCTCCTCTCTCCCAATATCCAGTTAATTATGAAGTCCTATCAGTTACTGACATAGTATCTCTAGTACCTCTTGCCTTCCCTTCATTCCCTGGACCGCTCTTAAATTGGGACACTTATCATGCCACTCCTGGAGTACCGAATCAGATTCTCATTAATCTGGCCTCTGATCTCATTCCTTCACAGAGCTAGGAAGGGATTTGACTTGATTGGGTTCCTCCCATTCTTAAAGTGATTCGTAGATTCCCATTACTCCTCAGGATAAAGTCCAAAGCCTTTAGCATAGCATGCTTCATCCTTCATAATCTATACCCTCCTAGGCCTTCATTTTTTGAAACTTCTTCCCTTGAAATATGCACTTCAACCAAATTGATGTACATGTGGAATCAATATATTCTAATCCTACTGAGTTAACCTCAAGATGATTTTTATTGAATGTTTTCTCTATCCAACATGGTAAACCAAATTATTGCTTGTCTAAATGTTTATGTAGCACAATTGCATTACATACAATTTAGCATTTTGAAATTTTATTGAAATAATATTAGAAAAATGTTTGTGTTAATTTTATACTTTAATTTTATTAAGCATCTTTCTATCATAATACTTTTATTAGTCCATGTTCACACTGCTGATAAAGACACACCCCAGACTGGGTAATTTATAAAGAAAAAGAGGTTTAATGAACTCATAGTTCCACGTGGCTGCAGAGGCCTCACAATCATGGTGGAAGGCAAAAGGCATGTCTTACATGGGGGCAGACAAGAGAGAAAATGCGAACCAAGTGAAAGGGCTTTCCCCTTATCAAACCATCAGAACTCGTGTGACTTATTCATTATCAAGAGAAGAGTATAGGGGGAACCGCCACCATGATTCAATTATCTCCCGCTGGGTCCCTCCCAGAGCACATGGGAATTATGTGCTCATGGGAACAATTCAAGATGAGATTTAGGTGGGGACACAGTCAAACCATATCAATACTGAATGCACTATTTCACAGTATTAACATTCTTAATTCATTTTTATTCCATTTTAAGATTTATATTGTACCTGTCACTTCTATCAAGCCTATTTCATTGTGGGTGAAATTTTGGAGATTAAAATTTTACCATGTCTAGTTTTAGCCCTTATTAAGGTTTTTATTTTGTTCACTATATTTTTTAATACAGTATTACTTCTTATG